AATTGACACACATTCCAAGTCAAGTTTCATATTAATCTCTATACAAAATTGCCTTAACTGTCTTAATTTGACATTTTACAGTTCATAAATTAGATTTTGACATATTCTTCCTGGGTTAAAAAAATCCACATATTTATATGAATGTACTTTTTGTATGAATAAACTGGTGAAACTGGTGATTGGCAATGGAATTTCCCACACTAATAATACTGGTGGACTTAAATCTGCCTCCACCGAGTGCAAATTCTGAAGCTGCTCAGGAGTCCATGGCCCCCATGGACCTGACCCAAGTTGTTATGGGCCTGACTCACAACTATAGTGACACTTTAGACTTGGTTCTTCTTTCAGAACAATGGAAATATGACCTGGAATTGGGGTATATTATCATCCGTTCCCTGCCACGGTCAGATCACTCTCTTTTAGCCCTAAAGTTCTCTGCAGCCATTCCTTGCCACAGAGAGAAAGGACCTATTTGTCTCTGTCTCAGGACTCTGTTGGGTTTCATAGGGAGCTTTGAGTTACTCCCAAGGCTTTGATTCATGGTTTGACTGAGGCCCTGGTCACCACTTGGAATGAGGGGGCAGCCATGGTCTTGAATTGAATTGTACCTATGCAGACTGTCTCTGTCCATAGATCCCAGAGAACTCCCTGGTTTTCTGAGGAACTCTGAGAGATGAAGTGACAGAAGAGACCCTCAGAGCACCACTAGACAAAGATGGAGAGTGAACCCTATTGAGCATGGGTAGGAGCCTTTCTTAAGGATTATAAGCAGCAAGATGTAGCCATTTCTGCAGCCTTATTGTCGTCACAGAAATCCATCCAGTGACCTTGTTTAGAATATCTAGTCTCTCCTGAGGAAAGAAGGGATGGAGGAACACCTACAAGGTAATTGTGAACACTACTGTAGGCTTCTGTCAGATAAAGTTGCTCCCTTTGAGTTAGACTCCAGCAGTGCAGGTCCCATTGGAAGTAACTAGGAAACACTACTAACTAGTGTAGTTATCTAGGAAGAGTTTTAATCCATTGGTCCCAAGGAAATAGACAGGGTCCTCAGTCCTATGATTGTATCCACCTGTGTAAGATTCATGTCTCTCCTTGTAAGTTAAGGCCTCCTGGGACATGGCATGTAGTTGGATCCAGGTACTGCTAAATGCATGCTTGAGGAAGAAAGTGGTCCTTCTGGTTCTTAAAAAGGCAGTAGTCTCTACCCCACTCAAAAACCTACCTCTGGAACCAATTGTAGAATGTTTTTTTCATTCTCAAACCTTACCTTTAAAGAAAAGGTTGTTGAGAAGGTGATTGGTTTGCAGATCCAGAGGACCCTAGAAAAAACAGATTATCTGCATCCCTTTCAATCAGATTTCAGATTGGGATATAGTACTGAAATGGCATTGATCATACAGGTAGATGATTATTGGCAGAACTAGAATTGGGGTATTGCATCTATTCTAGCCCTCCTTGTTCTCTCAACACCTTTCAATATCATCAATCATGGTATCCTTCTGGAGCAGCTTCAGGGCATTGTGGGAGATACAATTTTACAGTGGTTCTGCTCCTTCCTTCAGGGCTGGTTCAACTTGGTGTTGGTGGGAGTGAGAAATCCAGCCCCAAATCCTTTCTTTGTGTGTTCCCACAGGGCGCTACTATCTCTCTGCTTTAACATCTACATGAAACCACAGAGGGTCAGTTACAATCAATACATTGATGATAACCAAGTACGTAGCTCTACCTAGGCCAAGCAAGTGTTGCTGTCAAGGTACTTTCCCAGTGTCTGGAAGCTATGGAGTCTCAATGGAAAGGACCAGCTTTGGCTCAATCCAGGCAAGATCAAGTGGCTGTGGGTTTTGGGGTTAACCCATTCAGGATACCCTCCATTTCTATATCTGGAGTTGCACTCCCCTGGACAGAACTGGTGCAAAATTTAGGGATCCTCTTGGACTTTCAACTCCTAGCTGAGCAGGCTTCAGCCATGATCAGAAGAGTCTTTTCACAAACCCATCTTGTGTACGAACTGTCCTGTTTTTAGATCAGGAGGTCCTGCTCACAATCACTTATGTCTTGGTCACATTCCATTTGGACTATTGCAACACTACGTACATAGGGCCGCCCTTGAAAACCACCCAGAAGTTGCAATTGTTCCAGAATGCAGTGCCTGGAGTAGTTATAGGTGCACCTTGGTACACCTGTATAACACTACTACACAAGCTGCAATGCCTCTCTATAGACTTCTGATGCAATTCTAGGTGCTGATTGTCACCTATAAGGCCTTCATGGCACAGAAGCTGGTTATTTGCAGAATTGCCTATCTCCAATTGTTTCTCCTTATTCCGTGAGATCAGGTGGAGTGGATATGCCTTGGGCCCTTTCTACAAAACAATGTACCTGGCAGAGCCGAGGAGGTGTGGGACATCATTCCCCCTGCCCCAAGGTTCAGATGGCCTCCTGCTGGCCTTCCACAAGGCATGGAAAAAGGATTCTTCCCTGGGACACTGGGCCAAAGCATGAGTTAAACCTATCCAGAATGAAAGTGTTTTTTTTTTTTTTAATGAAGTATACAGTGGTTGGCCTCAATTATTCTGCTAACCTTTTCTTTGGTTATTCTGTTTTTTAGTTCTGGATCTTTGTTGTGTTTTGTTTTTAGATTTTAACCAATCGTAAGCTGCCCAGAGTTGCTTTTGCAAGTTGGGTACCCATATAAATCAAATCAGTCAGTCAGTCAGTCAATAAAATATAGTCATTTCATGTTAAAATATGATGGTTTTCCTCCATAAAATTTTAGCATATTCCACAGTGCAAAGAAAGAGATTCACACATATGTGGGATAATGCATAAATTTTGGAGAAAATTCACATAAAACATATGTCATAATGGAAAAATTGCTTCCAACCAATGTTCAAACTAGAAAGTGCATACGCAAATGTGCACATTAGAGGAACTGTCACAAAAAGTGTATGATAATCAGCACAGAATTGTTTTTGCAAACCAGAATGATGAAGAAAAGGGGACAAATGAAACTTTCAGTTGCTAAGTAAGAAATCTGTTTAAAACAATGTTGACACAATTGTCCATCCTTAGTTGGCAATAGTGCTATACTGAGGACTGCTGAATTCCCTGTATAAGTGAATTTTACAGAGATTCAAATGAATTGAATTGCAATAATTAAATATTACAAAAAAGTAATATTTAGGTATTGTTTGGCTCCTATTTATTAAAGAAGATCTCTCCCTTTTAAGATTATTTGCCCAAATACACAGGACTGAAAATTATTCTGTTCTGTGCCTGTGCAAAAGTATGCAACTTATAACCATCATTTAAAAACTCAAAAACTAGACAGACATTGCACTCCTATACCCACCTATCTGTAAGTAAGCTTCACTAACTTTTAGGGGCATTACTTCTGAGAGTAGAATGCATAAGATGTTTCTGTCTTTCAATACTTTCTTTGCTAATCCTGGTATTTATTTTTCACAAGAACAGCTCTGAAAATTGTATCAAGATATGCTATCCCATTACTCTAGCCATTGATGAGAAATAACTGCTTCTTTTCTGGTTCACTAATTCCCAAACTCGCCTCATGCAGATGACAGAGTGTGTAATGCCTCTAAGGCATTCATTTTAAAAGAGTGCCTTCCAGAGAAGCACAAGTCTCTGGCATCCAACTTGTCTGAACTCAAATTTCCTTCCTCAGAAAGAAGAACTTGACAAAGGTCAACTAAACTGGCTCAAGGGTAGCTCAAACTGGTTTGCATTGCACAGTTAACAAGGCATGTGCTTTCCCAGAGAACTCAGAGATTCCGGAGTGGTATTAAACACAGATGTGTATCAAGCCAGAATGACTGCATACCAACTGATGAATATTTAGCTACCTGGGAATGTTTCATTGAGACAATTACACTCCCTACTCTTGGCAAAGCCAATGGATGCTACTTATAAAGTAGAGATGCTCCCCTGAAACAAATCCAGGTCCTAGAAGTCTCATAGGCTACTCTCAAAGCCCATCTGATAATTGCTCCCAAATCATAACTCTTAAGGTGACAGAACAGGGGAAATAATTAAGTGCAAAAGAGTAATCATGTGCAACTGCAGTTAATATTTAATTTTAATATTAAATATCAATCAAATCAAATTTAGCTTTTGTTATAGCCCCATCTTCTTTCCCATCCCCTCCACTCAAAAGTAAAATGTGGCCTTCTCCTTGAAATAAAGTGGCACACCTTCATTTGATAGGGAGATGCCGCATTTAGTTATGATTTATCTCAAAGAGGTGCCTTGCTCTTTTTGTTTTTGTCTTGTTATTATTTTATACTGGTATTGACCAAAGTAGAGGAGCTCATTCAGAGAGGTGCTTTGCATCACCTTGTAGTCTCTTCTGACTGTTGCAAGTGGTGAAGGACGTGTCAACGCAGGCAAAGGCCGCTGCTTCATTCTGCTTTTAGAAAGGATGAGATCAGATTCTCCCCACATTCTGCCATATTATAGTGTGAGCCCACATGCATGATAACCCCACTGCACATAGATCCCTTGCGAAACAGCCCGGTGCTTCCACTTGAGAAACAGAGCCACGTTTCAGTGGCAGGGAATGGATTTGTCCACTTCTGTGGAAGCTGCAGAGAACAGGCTCAATCCGGTTTGAGGGACTTCAAACTGGATTGAGAATCTTTGGTAGGCTGACTGAATTGTATGGAGCAATATTGCTTCTTTGTTTATTGGAAGGGTAGTTAGTATGAGGTGGGGCGGGGCGGTGGGAAGAGCACACTTGGAAATCATCAAAACTGCCTTTCATCCCACCTTTTGCTCTCCTGATAATAGGCCTTTAGCTAATTAGACAATCTAAAACTGAGCCTAGGAATAATGAACCCAGAATTCGGGGGGGATATTCCATTTGAGTCAAGGGGAATTTTGTTGGAGATCTTCCCCTAAATTCTGCTCACTGTTAGCAAACATAAGGTATAAAATATAGTTTTGAATGCCTGTAAAATAATAGCTTTATTTAAAGGCATAATAAAAGCATGGTAAAGGTACATTAACCTTAAATGTTATAAAATTAAGAATTAAATGAAAAGACATTCACATGAATATTTTGCACTGAGATACAGTATATGTAGTTCTTCAATGAACAAAGATTGAAATATCTTTAAATATCCTCAATATGTTATCTGTATTTAATTATGTAATATTTATTTTAATAGCAAATGGGACAGTTAATAAGTATGTTAAATCAATCTTTAATTTAATACCCAAAGGGATAACAATCCTAATATAAATGCCACCAAAACACTGAGGGACTGAAAAGTACATCATCAGAAAAGTATGGCAGTAACAAGCAATGACTGAGTTAATCAGACATTGTGGTAAACCATGAGGTAATTTGTTTGGATCTAGCTTATTATAAGATGGCTTATTCAACAAACCATGGTTAAAACAAACTTTAGATTAATTCAGCATTAGCTATTTATGAAATGTTCCTAGTGATTCTGTTTAAAGGAATGCACATATCTATACACACAAAGACCTATTTTTAAACATTTTCTTGATACTGCTTTCTTCCATTTAACTACTGAACAGCCAACTCCTGAGTCTTTTTTTCTCTCTATGGCCTTGATACTACCAAAAACTTGGTAACTGGAATGCTGAAGAATTGCTAATAGACTATTTAACCTGGCAGTGTGGCGTAGATATTAAATCTGAAAGACTGTTTTGGAATGGACAACATTTATTAGGAAAACCTCACATCATTCCCTAAGTGTGACATTCTCATTATTTCCAGGGCTTCTTCCCATTCTGCCAGAAGTGTGAAGTATTTGTCATACCACTGCTTTCTAATGTATAAGAAGCTCTCAGATGATCTAGCAGTGAAACAAGAGAGCTATGTAGAATAGTGCAACAGCTAAATGAATCTGCTGGAAGAAACAAAGTTCTGTTAAGAATCCAATGTAGAAGAAATATTGCAAATAGTGAAAGATTTGGCTTGCATAATAAATATAAACCACACAAGTCTAAAGTAATTAAGCCTAAGGCCAGCACCAAAAGGTCAAAAATTAATCAGCTCTGTGTATATCGATGAATTTATTCCGGTGAAATTTTCATAGTTTTGACATTTAATTTCCTCTAAGTAATTTGCAAACATTGCAATTACTGATGACCTGATATGTAGCTGCTCTGTTGGTCAGGTGCTAAAATCTACCTATGATTTTTCAGTTTTTCGTTTATTCTTTCTTTTGTCCAGTGTGTTGATGGTCTGATTCACCCAGGGAAGATTATGTGGCACACAGATCTTGATTCCATTTCTGGTAATTAATCTACAAGAAAATAAAAAGCAAGTCACTAAGTATATCTTCCATAAATTAAATAGCTTTTGCAGTTCATGTGCTCATGCTGAAATATAAAGGATGTTGAAGCAACAGTCTAAGGTCTAAACCAGCACCAGATTGTGATGGAAGGTAATATTATTGGAGGCCAATAAGATGAACATTTAGCATACAGTTAAAATATGCTAAATTATTTGATCAATCCAATGAAACATAGAATGAACATCAGTAATGTACAAGGATAATATCTATCTGGCATTTCTACTTCCATGGCATGTGTTATTGCTACTCATATGTATTGGTTCAGAGAATTTAGTGCCACTGATAATTCAGTTCTGACCTTAGCCTCTATATGCTGCTGATCATATATTCATTATTCAGTGACTGGGATATTAAATAATATATATGAATCAACTACTGTGGATCAAATGGAATTGACAGAGTTTTGGTATTATTTTACATCCACGCAAACATTTTTTTTAATCAATGAAAGAAATTTACATATTTGTTCTGGATGCTTCATGTCCCTAATCTATCATGGAGGGTTTGCCAAGATCCATAAAAGCTTATGTGATAATAAATTTATTCATCTTTAAAATGCTACAAAACTATTTGTTTTTTCTGCAAAAGTCTAGCAAATTAGATAATATCAAGACTTCAAATATTATTAATTTTATCAGATTTGTTGGCTTAAGTGAAAAGAAAAGATTGACCCAGTACAAAAGAGTTGTTGTTGTTATTATTCAAACTTTTGTCACTGAGACCTAGCTTGCTTCTCTGTGTTCACATCTGCCACATAATCACTACTTGCAAAAACTGAAGTGGACTGTTTCCAAATTCTGACCAGTTACAAACTCTCCAACAACCTGAACTGGACTGATAAACATTACAATTCCATGCATAGTTCCACAACTGCTTCACTACATGTGAGACTAAAGCAGCAACCTGGACTTTGCAATAACTATCAGGGATTTGAGTATGTTTATCCTGTATGAGCCTGAAATGAGCCTACCAACCTCAGTGTATCTTCTTGGCTCCACATTGACTAGACCTTCCTTTTTCATCTAGCTACTTTTAGTTCCTAAAGGTAGGAGGCAGCAAAAAAGACCTGGACTATGCCAAGAAGTTGGTACAGCACGGCTGGGTAAACTTTTCAGCCCTGAAGTCAACATGTGATACCAGATACAGGCTGAAGGGTGCATATGCACCCAGACAACAATATAGATATACAGTATGTATGGGGTTGTCTACCAGAAGTATAGGGAACAACATTGGGGGTGGACAGAGAATTTAGCTGGGAGGATTAAATAGCATCAGCTGGCAACTGCTGAAGAACATAGCAGCTAACCTAGCTTCTTCCAGCTGTTCTGAGCTCTCATCTTCACAAACTTCAGTCAGCATAGCCAGTGACTAGAGATGATAGTAACTGTCCTTTAAAACGTACCTGTGAACACCAGATGCTCGGGACAAATACAAGGGCCTTTAATTTTCACTGCCAGCTCTTAAGTTATTAGAAGCATTTGGCTGGCCTGTCATAGAAATACAGTATAAAGTTGTACTGAATAATCTGAAGGACCCTAGTAGCACTTTTCTGACTAGCACATTTTATTAAAAGGCATAAACTTTTGTAAGCTGCAGCTCACTTCATCAGATGCATAGAGTGGTATCTGATAAAGTGAGCTACAACTTACCAAAGCTGATGCTTTTTAATAAAATTTTAATCAGAAAAGATGCCACCAGACTCCTCCTGATTTATGGTGTCATAGACTAACATGGTTCTCCTCCTACAAAGCTGTACTAAAGTGTTCTGAGGTCCAGCAAGGCTCTTTGGGCTTATATAATGTATTGTAAGTGACCTAGGGAACTACAATTTCTATTTTATATAGCCAGTAAGAGAGGGTATATAGGCAACAATATAGGCATGTTTTTTGTTTGTTTGTTTTTCTCCCTCCAATCACCAGACAATCATTTTGGGGGACTAAATGGCTCTTCTGTCTATTAATATCTACACAACCATATTCATATGTGTTCTGTTATCTCTTTCCATTCTTGCTTGTGGAACAATATATTCTTTTCCAGGTCTACAACTGAAGATTAGATACTCACATCACAACTTTTTGTGGATGATTTTGTATTTCATAATTAGCAATTCTTCTAATGCTTATTTTTTCTGTACGCAAACTTACACAGGAGTTATGTGCCATAGCTTGAGTCCCTAAGGTTCCTAAAAAAGAACACATGAACAAAAAAAATTGTTGAAAGTCTTTTGCTGTTGTTAAATTAGATTTTCAGATCTTACACAGGCACTAGCTAATTCCTGAAGGTCTTTCCACTCTTTAGTTTCCTTTGTAATAAATCACAGTGACTACTTATATACTAATCACATAGATTGTGGCATCTTTCCTCAAGGTTGCACAGCTGCAACACAAATGTGACATTTCCCAATTTTACAATGCTTGAATCTACTTCTGAATTACATAGCTGGCTGGGGAATCATCAGCATATGTATGCATCACTTAGTGTTAGTTCCTCCCATAGATCCAATAGTTTCAGTCAATCAGTTCTTTGAAGGAGGTAATTTTTTCCTTCCTTCCTTCCTTCCTTCCTTCCTTCCTTCCTTCCTTCCTTCCTTCCTT